TCCTGGGACTCCAGGACTGAGAAGAGTGCCCTGAGGTCACCTAGCACCCCACTCCCCCACCCCATCACTTCCATGGAAAACTGATGGGCAAGAGGGCAGCTCATGTCCAGAGACCGTAACATGATGAGGGCATGTCCAGATTCCAAACTGGACCCAGTGGGTGGAGAAGAGATCCTCCTCTTTTTAATTCTCTAAAACAACACCACTACCAACAAAACACCACCATTACCATCACTCTCTCCACCATCAGCCCCCCACCTCCATCACCTCCACCTACAATCCTATATAACCACCACCTCCATCACCATCCTCCACACCGTCATTACTATCACTTCCCACCATCACCTCCTACATCTACCACAGTCATTACTATCCACCTCCACCATCATTACTATCACCTCCACCACCATCACCATCCTACAATCATCACCATCACCTCCACCATCACCCCCTCCACCCTTTTTCCTCATCACCATCACCACAGTTATCACCGTCATCTGCCATCCTCCCACCACCATCGCCATGCACCACCATGGCCACCACCACTACCAGTTCTCAGTTAACCCCTTACCTCCAATACCTCATCCCAATCATAACCTCAACCACACCACCATCACCATCACCCCATCATCATAATCATTCATCACCTCCACCATCCTCACCACCCTTTACCACTTTCTACACCATGTCAACCACCCTACCTCCATCACCACTTCCACCCCAATCATAACCACACCACGCCACAGCCATCTCACCATCATCACTATCACCTCCATCACCTCCACCATCACCTCCACTACCACATATCACCATCATCACCATCACCACCACACCATTACCTTCCTCCATGTTACTTACCTCACTCCACCTGCATTTTACAATCATAACCATCACCACTACCACTGTCATCACCATCTGGCAGCACCACCATCATCACCACTACTGCATTATCCACCACTCCCTTACCATCTATTACCCATCCACCCTCCACCCCCTACCACTACCACTTCCTCCACCATTAACCCGCCTTTCTCACCACCTCCATCCACAATCTTAACCACAGCCTCTACCACCCACCACCATTTTCACCATCACCTCCATCACCATCACCTCCACCACCACCACCACCATCTGTCCAACCATCACCTCCACCACCACCACCACCATCATCACCATCACCCTTATCATTACCATCACCACCATCATTACCATCACCTCCACACCTACCACTTCCTCCTAACCCACTTACTTTCATCACCACCTCCATCACAATCATAACCACCACCTCCACCACCACTACCATCATCACCATCATTACCATCACCTCCACCATCACCTTCACTACCACCACCACCATCATCATCGCAACAAGAACAACATTTGCCAAAAAAGCCCTCTCAATGGTCATCACTGGGTAGCCCATGGCAGCCGTGGCCATGCTTGTGTGTCTCCCACACATACCTCAGGCACCTCTCTGCACTCGAGTTGTTGGGGGAAGGTAGAGTGCAACAGCACTGGCCCAAGACCTTCCCGGAAGCTGTGCCTGAAGAGACAGAGACAGGCACCGTGCAGTGGGTCCAGGCTGAGATGGGAAGGCAGAGAGCATGTGGAGGCAAGGGAAGGGAGCATCTAATGTTACCTTGAACAACCAGGAGGGCTCCTTGGAGGAGGTGTCAGCCACCTCAGTAGGCTGAAGAGGAGTCTCCTGGTGAGAAGGTTGGAGGAGGGTGCTCTAGGCAATGTGCCCTAAAGAGAGCATGAGGGGTCACTAGGGACAAAGAGTGGTGGGAACCAGGGCTGGAGCTCAGTGCAGGTGGGTTTGATGAGGGTGGGTGCAGGGGCTGTGCTCCTGGGAGCCCCAGGGAAGTGCCTGTAGGGGCCCTATGGGGGCAAGGCAGGCCCTGTCACCCCATTTTAGAGCAAAAGACTGAAACTTCTGGGAGAAAGCCACTTACCCAATGCTGGTTTGAAGCCGATGCCTGTGTGGCCCCATGCGTGGCTCCGCAGGCTTTGCTCCTGCTCACCTCAGTGCTATCCCTCAGCCAGGAAGACGGTTTCTTGGACTGTCTGCCTGGCTTACCCTTCAGGGCTCAGTAATGGCTGTCCTCCTCCAGGAAGCCTTCCCTGAAGACCCCTGTCTGCTGCATGTTTCCTTGGGGCTCTCATGGCACTGGGCTCTTGTTAGTTTCTATGGCATCTTCCTTCGAAGGCAGAGCCACCTCTGATTTCTCCCCAAGTCCCTGGGGCCCGGCCAGCGTGGCCTGCCCAGGGAACATAGTTGATGCCAACCCTCCCTCTCCTGCTGCCACCAGTCCTGTTGAATGAGCCCCTGGCCCAAATGGGTGAGGATTCTGCCTCGACAGGCTAGAAGCTTGCCCATGCTCTGCCCACTGGGATGGAACTGCAGGCCCCTCTGCGTGTCCCTCATCTGGCCTTTTCCATGCCTTCCTGGCCTGTGCCGCAGGTCCTGGTGGGAGTGGAGGAAATCTCAGCATCTCATAAGTCTGCAGCTCTTTCTCTGGGCTTTTATTTTAACTTGTTTTTTTAAAGACAGAGTCTCACTGTGTCACCCATGCTGGAGTGCAGTGGCGTGATCTCGGCTCATGGCAACCTCTGCCTCCCGGATTCAAGCAATTCTCCTGCCTCAGCCTCTGCAGTAGTTGGGATTACAGGTGCAAACAACCATGCCCGGCTAATTTTTGTCTTTTTAGTAGAGATGGGGTTTCACCATATAGGCCAGGCTGGTCTCAAACTCCTGACCTCAGGTGATCCACATGCTTCGGCCTCCTAAAGTACTGGGAGTACAGGCATGAGCCACTGCTCCTGGCCCTGGTGGAACTTTTAAAAGCCCAGAGAAAGACTGGGCGTGGTGGCTCACGCCTGTAATCCCAACACTTTGGGAGGCCAAGGCAGGTGGATCACCTGAAGTTAGGAGTTTGAGACCAGCTGGCCAACATGGTGAAACCCCATCTCTACTAAAAATACAAAAATTAGCTGGGTGTGATGGCGTGTGCCTGTAATCCCAGCTAGTGAGGAGGCTGAGGCACGAGAATTGGTTGAACCTGGGAGGCGGAAGTTGCCATGAGCAGAGATCACGCCACTGCATTCCAGCCTAGGCGACAGAGTGAGACTCAGTCTCAAAAAAAAGTTTCCATCACCAGAAACAGCCCTGCTGGATGGATCCTGTGCAGTAACATATCTGTTTTAATAACTCAGTGGTCTGTGGTGTCCTACGACTGCAGCACCAGCTGTAGGCAACGTAATTCAATTCAGTGCCCAGCCAGCGCCCTCTGAGCTTTCAGTTTGACTTGCACGTGTTTTAATCTCCTGGGATCCGGATCAATTTCCTCCTGGCCTGGCTCAATGAGAAGACCACATTTCAGCCACGTTAACCGGCGAGGAAATTAGTTTGATGTGTATGTTTGAGGCATGTTGATTTGTATCATGATTCCCACCCCTCAAAATCTTTGCCATGTTGGCTCCAGTTCCTGAAAAGACTGTTATAAAAGCCCCAACCCCTGCTTTTGCCAGGGACTTACATGTACCCATTTCCCACCAGGCAGGGAGGGCAAAGGCACCTCGAGCGCTGAGGGGTGGCCCAAGATGCCGCACTCAGGGTGATGTGAAATGTAGCTAAGAGTGCGTGAAAAGTGGGGAGGGTTCGGGAGCTGCAGCTCTTTGTGGTCTCAGGGGGCCGGGAAATAGGTACATGGGCAGGACCCCACTGTCCCAGAGGCTAGGCCCTGTCCCTGGCCTTGGCCTGGACTTTCTTACTGCCCGCTTCCACAGGGTGTCTCACCTATGCCCTCCACCCAGCGCCTCCCCAGGGACCCTGGCTGCCCACCTGAGGGGGGCGACGGCTGGGCTGCCTCCCCTATGTGCCATCTACTCCCTCCTTTGGGCACAGCAACTCTGAAGAGCAATCAGCCCCAGCCCAGGTGGGATCACTGCAAATGCGGCGTTCAAACTCCAATAACCCTGGCAATGCCCTGGTCTCTACAGTTAGTGTCACTCGCTGGTTTAGCTGAACACTCAGTGTGTGCCAGGCCCTCACTTAGGGCTTCATGTGCTTGAAGATCAAGGTGCTAGGTGCCCTTTCACAGATGGGGAAGCTGAGGCTCGGGGTTACAGAGCCTGGTGCCCCACTGTCCCCGTCTCCAGACTCTGCCCCCAACACCCACTTTCTGTTCACCATGGACCCAAGATCAGCTGTCACAGCTCCCGAGGAGGACCCCAGCACCCTGCTGGGTAGACGGTGTCACCTCCTTAAACCTCCTGGTGATGTGGACATTCACACCTTTGGTTAAGGTGTCCTGGAGAGGAATGACATGCCCGAATCCCACGGTGTGTACACAGAGGGCCGGGGTTCGAGTCGGACTCAGTCTGAGCTGTTGCCCGAAGCCTTCCGCAGCTGTATAGCCTTACAGCTATGAAGCCATTTTCTGGGCCTGGGTTGGAGCCCGCCCTCACGCCCTGGTCACTGCCTGCTGATGGCCTGTGTGCATTCAGGCTGAACTGGGGACTCCTGTGGAGAGGGGCTAAGGAGTCCAGGGCTGTGTGCCAACCTCCCTAGGCCCCTGCAGGGAAGGAAGATTGTGTGGTCCAGCCAGGGACCCCAGGTCATGGGTCTGATGCCAGATCTGCCAGCTGCAGTCACCCAGTAGGAGATGGTGCAACAGCCCTGGGGGACCCCACAGTCAGCACCAGAGTCCCTGGCTCCTGGGGCCAGCATGCTGGGGCTCGAACCCCTGCTTGATGACTGTGACCCTGTAGCCTCCCTGGGTCTCGGCCTTCCCACCCTTAAAGCAAGAGATTCAGACCAGATCAGCGGTTCTTGGTCATTCATGGGACTTGCGTGGTGTGGGGTGAGCATGCCGGTTTCCAGGCACCGATGCCATCAGTGGTCAGCCCTGGGGCTATGACTCTTGGTGCCCGAGACTGAAACAGACACCCCATGGCTTTCAGGAGATCACCCTGACAGGCAGAATCGTGGCTGCAGGTTTGCTTAAAAGGAAATTATTTATTTGGGCTGTTCTGATTCCTGCAAGCAGGAGCTCAGATGTGCCTGTGGCTCAGCCAGCCAGGCCCTGTCCTGGGGGTGTCCACGAAATAGGATGAATAGAATCTGGATCCTCCACACCAAAAAGTCCAAAGCTCATATCTTAGACCAGTGGTTCTCAACTGGAGCCAATTCTGCCCCCCGGGAGACATTTGGCAATGTCTGGGGATACTTTTGGTTGTCATACCTCAGGGGATGCTGTGTGCTAAAAGCGTCTAGTGGGCAGAGGCCGGAGGCGCTGCTGAACATCCTACCGGGCACAGACGGTCCCCACCGCAGAGGATGATCCTGCCCTGAATGTCCATGGTGCAGCCACAGGAAGCCCCCGCTGCGCAGGCAGTTGAGTGCTCGGTGTTGGGCCCTTGCCTAGAAGGATGAGGTCCGAGTGGTGGCCTGGCTTTTGGTGGCCTTTGTGGCCTAACCCAGCCTCAGCCCTGGGCGCTGGGCACTCTGGCGTCATGTGCTAGGTTAGTCCCACTGAGTCGTGGCACTTGTACAGTGTGGGCTTTATGCAGGGAACTCTGGAAGGCTCAGATCCAGGCTTGGGCATCCCTCTTCTCCCTATGAGGGACTCAAGCAGGAAATCAAAGGACCCTTCATTCTGCAGCGGGTGGCACTGGGAAGGGCCCTTCCTCCTCCTCTCTCAAAGCTCAAACCTGGATCGTCCACCAGCAGCCATCAGTGCAGGGTGGAGGGCGGGGAGGGGGAGGGTCAAGGTGACCCTCATGGAAAGAGGAGGTAAAGGACTACCCAGGGCACATTGCTTTTGCCCACCAGCAAACCCAGCCTAGCCAGGGTCCTGGAGCGGCCCCATCAGGGCGGTGCTGGTCGGTTGCCACAGGCGAGGAGTGACTGTGTGTTGGGGTCAGGGAGGGCCAGGAGCATCCCTCTCCAGACTCATGTCCTTGACTCTCTTACCGAGGAAGGGGTTCATGGATAAGCACAGACCAGGCCTCACCTGGACCCCAGGTCCTCGTCTGCAGAGATGGGGGCTCGCCCCTGCCTCAGCCTCACTCAGTGCATCTGGCCCTCATCACCTCCGCTCTCGGCCCACTGTCAGGCTCAGGCAGCCTGGAGTTTTGGTCAAGGTGCAGCTGGACGTGCTGGGCAGCCTGACCTCAGCTCTCCTGGTCCTGGAGGGGACTTCTGTTGAGACACAGAGCGTTTGTTTTAACATAGAAAACGTGATGCGAGCCTCACTGGGGACCTGTCCCCTTCCTCCAGGAATGTGCCCGCCTCCTGCTGCCATTCATGGTGCCAGGGCTTGGCCCTGACTTTGCTTTGAGATCAAAGCAGGCACCGACAGCAGGGAAAAGCCAGGCAGTGGGAGAAGGCACTTCCAAGACTGCGAGAGCAAGGGGAGCCTTCCCAGGGCCCTGAATGCAGAAATTCCTGTGTCTGCAGTGGCTGCAGCTGTGCCTGGGAGGGTAGGGCTCTCGCCTGCTCCTGTCCCCACAAAAGCACAGGGATGCTCGGATCTGCAGCCACAGTTTGGGCAGTTGCGGCTCCACCTAGGAGGGTGGGGCTCCGGCCTGCTCCATGGAGCGTGCAGCCCTGGCCGTGCCTCCCTGCTGCAGTCTGCATGATGGCAATCGCAGACCATCTTGGAGCAGCCACTGCCATCACTGGTGCTCACCCCTTCCTTCTGTTCCCTGGGCTCCTGGATAGCCCTTAGCTTCTGCCCTGAGTTGGGTCAAGCTCCTGGATTTGCCTTTTGGGGCTCCTCATTCTCCCTCCAGAAACACCAGAGCTCTGTCTGCCCTTCTCTGGATGAGGGGTCTTGGTGGGCACACACAGGCTCCTGCTGGAATGAGCAGGCATGACGCCTGCAGCCTCCTCCCCAGGTGGCCCCCACTCCCCATCCCCAGTGGGGGCTCTGTCCCTCCTGGCAGGGACTGCTCCTTCCCTAGGAGCCTCCCACCTCCCTTGGCAAGGGCTGGGAACCCCACAGGGACTCAGGGCGTACACTGAGAGGACTTGGGGTGTGGACTTTTCCACGGAACTTTCTGCAGTATACACGTTTGCCAGAAGTATAATTTTCCAATTGTGCTTGATCTCTGGTGCCACCTGGGTGTTGATTAAACATTCAGATTCCGGCCGGGCACAGTGGCTCAAGCCTGTAATCCCAGCACTTTGGGAGGCCGAGACGGGCAGATCACGAGGTCAGGAGATCGAGACCATCCTGGCTAACACAGTGAAACCCCGTCTCTACTAAAAAAGTACAAAAAAATAGCCGGGCGAGGTGGCGGGCGCCTGTAGTCCCAACTACTCGGTAGGCTGAGGCAGGAGAATGGCGCAAACCTGGGAGGTGGAGCTTGCAGCGAGCTGAGATCCGGCCACTGCACTCCAGCCTGGGCGACAGCGCGAGACTCCGTCTCAAAAAAAAAAAAAAAAAAAAAAAAAAAAATTCATATTCCTAGCCCTTTCCCTGAGATATTTCAGAGAAATGGGCCTGGGGTGATGCCAAGAATTGGCTGGTCAGGCAAGCTGGGGACACCCCATCCAGGGTCCACCTCTGGTGCCCCCCTCTTTCAAAATCTTCAGTAACTTCCCAGTGACCATAAATAATGTCCTGCTCCTTAGCCTGGCACTCTGGCTGTCTGTGTGCCCCTGCCTCCCCCTTTCCTCTGCTCCATGACCTGCTGGGCCCCCAGGAGCCATTGCTTACAGGGCTCCATCATTTCAACTTCTGCTCCCCATCGCCACACGGCCAAGCCCTCCTGTGCTTGTTTTACAGTGTGTATATATTACTACAAACTGAGCGGCTTACAACCACATCTATTTACGAGCTCACAGTTCTGTACTTAAAAACTCCAGCCTGGCGTGGATGCCTGCACTGCTCAGGGTCTCCCAAGGCTGGATCTTATCTGGAGGCTTTGGGAGGGATCTTCTTCCAAGCTCATTTGGGCTGTTGGTAGAATTCAGTTCCTTGTGGCTGTAGGACTGAGGTGCCCATTTCCTGGTCAGCTGTCAGCCAGGGGCCACTCTCAGCTCAGAGAGCTCCTGCATTCCTCACCTCGAGGCCCCTCCATCTCCGAAGCCAGTGATGGCAGGGCTTCTCATGCTTCACAGCACTCTGAATGGCCCTTTGGTCACAAGTCAGTAAAAACTGCGCCTGGAAAGGGCTTGCGTTGTGGGGCCAAGCTAACTGGGAAAAATCTCTTTTTGACGAACTCAAAGGCAACTGTATTAGTCGGGGTTCTCTAGAGGGACAGAACTAGGAGGATACATGTATATATGAAAGGTAGCTTATTAAGGAGGATTGAGTCAGATGATCACAAGGTGAAACCCCACGATAGGCCGTCTGCAAGCTAAGGAGCAAGAAAGCCAGTGGTGGGTCAGTCCGAGTCTCCAAACCTCAAACCGGGGTGCAGCCTTCAGTCTCCACCCCGGGAGCCCCTGGAAAACTGCTTGTGTGCGTTCAAGAGTCCAACGGCCGAAGAACGTGGAGTCTGATCTTCAAGGCCAGGAAGCATCCAGCATGGGAGATAGATGAAGGCTGGAAGACTCAGCAAGTCAGCTTCTTCCCCTTTCTTATGTCTGCTTTTTCTAGCTGCACTGGCAGCCCATTGGATGGTATCCACCCACAGTGTGGGTGGGTCTTCCTGAGGGTGGGTGCTCCCCTCTGTCCACTGACTCAAATGTTAATCTCCTCTGGCAACACCCAGAAAGAATACTTCGCATCCTTCAATCCAATCAAGTTGACACTTAACCATCACAGCAACTGATCAGCAACCTTCATTACATCTTTTGCCACGGACCATAACAAAACCATGGGTGTGACGTCTGTTCATACTCATGGTCCTGGGACTAGGACATGACATCTTGGGGTGGTTTAGGATTCTGTCCACCATACCTTGATTCCCTTCCAGGCCCCCTGCACCTGCCTTGGTCCCGCTGGAGTGTGCCCAGTGACGTCATGAGCTCCTTATGGCCTCATGTCCTCTTGCCATAGGACTGGCGGTCCTAGCAGCAGATTGTGAACACTTTACCCCATAGTCCCCATTCCAGGAGGCGGGCCACGTAGTGGAAGGAGCTCAAGCTCTGAGCCTGACAAGCATGGGCTCAAATCCCAGCTCCACCAGCTGTGTGACTTCAAGCACTTCCTTCTCTACTTCAGTTTCCTCATCTGCACAATGAGTCCAGTAGCACTATTTCACAAGACTGTGCCAGGTCCAACAAACAAGCACCTGCTCTTTACCTAGAGGAACCAACATATGCCCAGTGTCACCTAAGCAGGAGTTGCTGGGGTTCAGGAAATGCCTGTCAGTCATACCAGTCATAAGATGCAAGAAGGTAGCTGGGGCAGGGCAGCAAGGATGGGGTGACACTGGAGATGCTGGGTTGGGCTCAAAGTGAAGTTCAAAAAAGTCCAGGTCAGGTCTCTGCCCTCTCCAGCTTATAACAATGCTGGTTATGTATGCCAGCTGCTTCCTAGAAAATCGTTCATTCATTCATTCATTCATTCATATATTCATTCATTAATTCATTCATTGCTTCACTGAGTACTGACTATATGCCAGGTTCTGTCTTATGTCTTGGGGATAGAGCAGTAACCAAAGCAGGTGTTGCTATGCCCCCTGTGGAGCTCATGTACTGGTGGGAGACAGACAGGAAAAAATAATGACATAGTGTCCTCAGTGTCACAAAGGGAGCAGCAAGTGTTATGGTAGCAAATATCAGAGAGCGTGTTTGTAGGGAGGAGTGTGGGCCCCCTCTGACGTGGGATATTTAAGCTGAGGCCACATAAAACCAGGGGAAGAGCCCTGTGCTAGAAGGGAGAGCACATACAGAAGTCCTGGGGCAGGAACCACCCTGGACTCGTTCAAGTAACAGAAGGAACAACATGGAGAATGAGAGGAGAGAAGAAGCGGGCTCATTTACATGATGAGGCTGGGGGACAGGCGGGGGCCGGAAGATGCCAGGCTGCAGGCCAGATCAGGACTTTGATTTTATTCAGAGGGCAATGGGGAGCCATAGAAGGTTTAAGCAGGAGAAGTGGCCTGATTTGGCTTGCATTTATGGAACACTCCTCCGGCTGCCGGCTGGAAGATGCACTGCAGAAGGTCAGGAGAGGAAGCAGAGGAGCAGTTGGGGCCTATTTCATCTTCTGGGTGGACTCAGACGAGTAGGTAGCAGTGGTGGAGGTGGGAGGGTAGGAGCACGATCCGTTTTGGAATGAGGGTCAAAGGCCTTGTGAGTGGATTTGGTGTGGGAGGTAGAAAGGATGAGGAATTCCATCTTGAGAAACTGGGATGAGGCTTTGGAGTGGAGGAATCAAGCTTCCAACTCCGGTGACAGTGACACAAACACACCCTGCAGGCAGCTCCTGGGGAGGAGGCTGGGTTACATATGCACTCACCGGTGTGAGTGCTGGGCTCGGGTCCCAGGCTCTAGTGACCTCTGTGTCCTTACTTCGCCCTCCAGCCTGCCAGCCCCCAAAGGCGGGGACATGTTCTCTCCACATCCCAGGACCTCACTCCAGACTGGAACATCATGAGCGCTCAGGAATGCCTGTCCAGTGGGAGGACAAATGAACCCAGAGCACGAGGGTACGGACGGGTCCTGCTTTGCAAGCTCACAAGGACTCAGGGGGATCCAGCAGCGGGGACAGGCCTGGCACAGCAGCTGTTCACTAAATAGGAGCTGTTATTATTATTTAAATCACTTTTAATTGTCCCGTTCCCACACAAAACACATCCCAGTGTGACCAGTCCAGAAGCCCCTTGACAGGGCACCAGAGAAACTATCTGTACCCAGGAAAATACTAAAGATGAAGTCATCTTTCCTTTCATAATCTTAGATCTAGGGTGCCTAACCATCGCTGTTCTCCCAGTACTGAGGGGTTTCTGAGATGTGGAACTTTCAATGCTAAAACTGGAAACATCTCAGGCAAACCACACCTAGACCTGATTCCATCATTACAGCCCACACTCGTCCACGCCGAGCAGAGTGAGGGTAGGGGGGTGTGCTGTCTCCTCCCTACATCCATCCTGTATTAAACATCCATCCGTCCATCCATCCATCCTGTGTTATCCATCCATCCCTCCCTCCATCCATCCTGTATTAAACATCCATCCATCCATCCATCCATCCATTCATCCTGTATTAGACGTCCATCTGTCCAACCATCCATCCATCCATCCCTCCATCCATCCTGTATTAAACATCCATCCATCCTCCCAGTATTACACATATTCATCCATCCTTCCATCCATCTTTTACTCTCACCAAACCCTCACCTCTGTTCTAGATGCTGGGAATGTGGGGCTAAGTCAGAAGTGGCACTGACCTTGAGGCGTCTAGCCCAGAAAAGACAGATGAGGGCCCTGGCCAATGGCCAATGTGGTGTCATGGGCCTGACCCCGTTGCTCCCCTGTATGGAATCAGTTCATGGCTCACACCGTGCTCAAGGTCCAGCCCAGGATCCTTGGGTGGGCAATCAAGGCTCTACCTCCACTCCAGCCACGCAGAACTCGCCTCTCCCCACAGGGGCCATGCTCTTCCGGATCTCAGCTTCTTGCAAGTCACCTCCTCCAGAAACCCTCCATGTTCGGAGAAGGCAGACCCCATAGAGGCAGCTGTTTAAAATGAGAGTCCGGAGCTGGGTGCGGTGGCTCACGCCTGTAATCCTAGCACTTTGGGAGGCTGAGACAGAAGGATCACGAGGTCAGGAGATCAAGACCATCCTGGTTAACACGGTGAAACTCTGTCTCTACTAAAAACACACAAAAAATTAGCCGGGCGTGGTGGCAGGCGCCTGTAGTCCCAGCTGCTTGGGAGGCTGAGGCGGGAGAATGGCGTGAACCCGGGAGGCGGAGCTTGCAGTGAGCCGAGGTTGCACCACAGCACTCCAGCCTGGGCGACAGAGCGAGACTCCGTCAAAAAAAAAAAAAAAAAAAAAAAAAAAAAAAAAAAAAAAAAAAAAAAAGGAAGAGAGAGAGAGAGGAGAGAATCTGGCTGGAGTCCTTGCTTTCCAGAGAAAAGAAAGAGGCCCCGGGGCGCCCGTGAGTCCACTATGGGCCTAGCAGAGGGAGGTGTGGTGGGCTCCTCCCCTACACTCTGTACTTCAAGGAGACCTGGGCAGGGCACATGGATGCCTGCCCCAGCGCCCCGTGAAATTAGGGACTGGTCCTGCT